AAATGACTGAGCATCAACATTTCGGTGACAATCACAAAGGCGGAACCACCGAAAGCAACCATTTGGCAGGTCCCTAGGGCCCTAGGTTTGACGTAAATCCGTGCTTGTTCAGTTGCTCAATACTGTTCCGAGTCAGGTGTTGAGCTGCGTTTGGCTTGCAGAGCTGGGTGTGAACAGTTTCTTGTCACCTTTGGCTATGTGGGGCCTACACTGGCTGTGTCTATGCGTCAATGTGAGAATTTATCTTGTCTCTTCAGTACATATCGTCAGCACTCCGGTCCTTGCGCCGATGCTTGCTTTGCCCTTGGGCTTCTTGAAAAAGTCAACAACCTCCTTGCCCAACATATCTGGAATGCTACTTGGTTGGAACTCTGTTCTTGAACTTTTGGAAACTAACCAACAAGCCACAAACAAGTACTTTTCTCACAGCAAACAGTCAAAGATTTGCGCCAAAATTAGACCTCTGCTAGAGTCCCTTGATCTGCCTTGGGCAAAGCTTTTCCTCAGCTGCCATTATCGGGTGGTTCGGGGAAATCAAAGGGCAACCACCCATGTTGGGGTTCCACATGTAGTGGGCCCAACCACGTACGCCCCTAAGGCGTATAGCCCCGTTTACCAAAATACAGGGGTATTCAGGGGCACGAGGGTGACCCCCTAGATGCAGCAGCTGCAAAGCTGCAGGTAGTGTTCGTTACAGCAACCCTTCATAATTGGAGAACCTGCTTCAGCCCAGAGTTGGTGGCACGGGCTCGACTAACTACCTTGGGGGGCAATGAAGCGCAGTTACCAGCACCACCACCACCACCACCACCCGCCGCCCCAACCACCACCACCACCACCACCACCACCACCACCACCACCACCACCACCACCACCACCACCACCACCACCACCACCACCACCACCGAGAAGGCGCACTCGGAAAGCGCATCTGAATCAAACCATTTGTCCCATGGGCTTCCTTGCAAGTCCGGGGAAATCGGCATCTGGTTCACAACACAAGCCATGTCTGGTCTCTCACACTCGGTCTCGTTTCAGAAGAATCCTTCCAGTTTCTCAGAAGACCTGCTAACAAACACCTGCCAGCACCAAGTTTTTGTACCACTCCTCAACGAAACCACTGGTACTGGCCTGAAACGGTGGGCCCATGCTCCTCATTGGCAGCTTGACTGCCGTGCATTTCGCGGGCATATTGCCGCTCCAGAGATGTTTTGCTTGACGCCTATGCCGATGTTTGTTCCTGAGCCAAGGGGAATGCTGAGAATGACTGGTCGTTGTGGATGTATTGACGAGGACCATTTAGGGCTATGACCTTCCCAAACTCTTCTTGGGTGACCCTACAGTATTTGGGTATGTGTCAAAGCAGGGGAACCCTGAGAATGACTGCTCCCCCTTTGGTTTCCCTTCAAACCAATCTCCAAAAAGCAAAAACGTGGTTGTCAAACATACCCCCAAGAAAAACAAACAAACAAACAAGCAAACAAGCAAGCAAGCAAGCAAGCAAACAAACAACCAAACAAACAAGCCAACCAACCAACCAGCCAGCCAACCAACCAACCAACCAACCAACCAACCAACCAACCAACCAACCAACAAACAAACAACCAAACAAACAACAACACACACACACACACATACACACACCGCACACACACATACACAGCAAAAGAAAAAGAAAACAAAAAACAGAGACAACAACAACGCAAATACCAGAACAGACAAGTAACATGCAAGAACAGAAAGATGAAACTAGAGACTGGCTTCCCTTTGGTTTTCCTTTCAACCATCCCCAAAAAAAACAAAACAACCTTTGAGCGCTGCCAATGGCTTTCGCTTTAGGCCGGTCTACGATCCAGACCTCGAGGAGGAGCCTCAGTTCCAAGTGGACGACTGCGTGGAATGCAAGATGCAGCGCCTCGACTGCACTCGAGGGCTGTAGCCCCCTGGCCGGGCGGTTCAAAGGCGCCACTCCCAGACAACCTCAGGCACCTCTTTGCTCCCAATTGCGCACCAACTTCCCAGCAGAGGAGATCGCCAATCCTGTATCCTTACCTTGGAATAGCATTGGCCGAAACTCCATTTTGAACAGCCCAGCCTGATTGATTGGCATGAGCCTCCCTCGTTAAAACTCAGGGCTTCTGAATGGGTGTGTGTTCTATGGAGCTGGTTTCCCGTTCAAAATGGTTTGATGGAAAGCCAAGAGGAGAACCCACCATTTTGTTGGGTCCCCCTGTTTTGACATACCATTTACAGAGCCAGTGCCCCTTTGGTCTTGACTGACTACGCAGTGGTTGACCCTGTCCGGGGATGCAATCAGTGATTGGCCGGTGGTGGTCTTTAAAAGCATAAAGCATCAGACAGAAAGCTTTTTCAAGAATTCACCAATCCGAGCTACTGAGAAATGCTCGAGTTTGTTGAGATCACGCGGACGACCGCTGTGTATTTGGCTTCAGGGTCGCATCTGTTGAGGTTGCGGAAGGATTCCTTGGCTTCATGCGAA